CAGGGTACGTGCAGACAACTACAGTAAGAACAAAGGTCTCTCCTGGCCTGTGACCTCAGCCCTTCCCGCCCTCCTCATAGCCACTGCCTCCTGCCTGCTCCATATCCACCCGGAGGGCCCTAAATGCAACCAACACCCTGACTCCTGCCAATCAAACCCAGAACCATCCAAACAGATTGCTGCCTCTTCATTTAACTGTTTCCATCTTATAGGAGCTATTTTCCTGCAATTTATCATAATTCTATGCAACACTGTATGAGCCCTCGTTCACAAAGCCCTTTTACATGCATGAACGTACCTGTGGTCTGCATGGGACCACTGGTTTTCCCAGCATCAGGGAAGCTTTCTATGTCAGCTGTGTGACCCTGAGCCAGTCATATACCCTCTCTGAACCTCAGTATTTCCATCCACCGGGGAAAAAAATGTAATACTTTCCCCATCTATTTAAAAGGGTAGTTGTGAGAATCAAATGAAAACATTGAATGTGAAACAGTTTATAATCTCTAGGGCAATATAGGAACGGTGACAGCTGGGATGGAGGTGGGAGTGATGGAAGTTATTGTCACAATATGCCCTTTAGGGACCAGTCAATAAAGCTACATAACAAAAACTCAGCTAGACAACCTCATCCAAAGAGAGAGATTTAGTGGAATGCTTCTTATGGATCCAATTCTATGATTGCTACAAATAAACAACATAATCTTTGTCCTCTGGGAGCCAGAGAGGCCAAGTATGTAGACAGACAGAGATTAACACACAGCCCAGGATAAAGCATGCCCCATGTGGGTCGTACAGATCTGAACTGCACAGGAGCTCAAAGGGAGCAGAGATCATCGGGATGGTCAAGAAACGCTTCCTGGAGGAAGTGGACTTTGAAGGGAGCCCATGATGTAGGCAGGTAGAGAGGAAGGAGGTGTACACTGACCTGGCTGCATTGGAGGTGAAGGGTCATGCAGGGGAGCCCTGATTTGGAAAATTCCACCTGCCACCTCCCACTCAGCCAGCCTGCTCCTGAAGCTGGAAGGCTCCCACTCTCCCAAGGAGAGAAGGGGTGAGGGACGATGTCCTAAGTTAGCGCTGAGGGCGGGGATTCCTCTTTCAACCTCTGCTGCTAACCCAGCCTTTGCAGCTGAGCCACGGTCTCGGGAACAGCCAGGCTCAGGTGCGCGGTCGAGGCCGCTCCGGGCCCAGCGCCAGCCGCTCAGCCCACGGGGAGACCGGCCGGGGCTCCTCGTGCACACTGACTGCGAGCTTCACCCGCACCGACACTCTCTTGGCTCACAGAATTGTTCTGGAACAGAAACTCTCCACTCAGAGCTGCATGCCTTTGTCTTCCACATCGTCAGGGCCCGGCAGCGTCTCGGGCCCCTGGGGCAGCCGAGAGGCCGCAGCAGCGAGGGGGCAGAGATGACCCCAGCAGGGTGTGGGGGGCCGGGAGGCGGCCCCCTTCTCCTGGACCTGGCCAGGGGACCAGGGAGCCACGGGCTGCGGGAGTCACTCCTTCCAGCAGCAGCCAGCTGTCCCTTCTTCCCCAACACACACACACACACACACACACACACACACACCCTGTTATGCTAGTTTCTGATGACAGGGTTTAAAACTTCCTCCTCTTTTCACTCGTAACTTTTCGGGTTATAAATAACGTTCACTGAAATGCAGTGCTTCACTGGGTGAAACGACCATCTTCTCAGTGGGGAGTCAAGGGAGCTAAACAGTGGAGGGAGGGGTCTGAGCTGCTCTGCCAGTTAGAAATTCAAACTTCTCTGATAAAAACATCAGTACGTTCATTCCTTTCCCTTTGTGTTAAAACATATCAACCTATGAAGAATTTGAAACTAAACTAACCTTCAAAGGAGATCAAGAAGAACTATTTTTAAAAATACAACAGAGGCAGATTTCTTTCCAGCAGGGGGGATTCCACTTTGTACAAAGGAAGGTGTTGCCAGGAAGAGGGGACATGTGCGCTGTGTATGTTTATAGGGGGTGGTTATGTCTGAATGTTCGTGTCCCTGAAATTCATATGTTCAAACCTAACCTCCAATGTGATGGTATCTGGGGGTGGGGCCTTTGGGAGATGCTTAGGTCATGAGGGCAGAGGCCTGTGAATGGGATTAGTGCCCTTATAAAGGAGACCCCAGAGAGCTCCCTCGCCCCCTCTACCATGTGAGGACTCAACAAGAAGTCTGTGACTGGGAGGAGAGCCCTCACCAGAACGTGACCACCCTGGCCCTCTGATCTCGGACTTCCAGTCTCCAGCACTGTGAGAAATAAACACCTGTTGTTTATAAGCCACCCAGCCACCAGCCTGTGGTATTTTGTTATAGCAGCCTGAACAGACTAAGACAGGAGTCTTCCTATCACGGTACAGAACAATTTTCCTCAGACTTATTCCCATGTAAATTCACTGAAGTGGTTCGCTAAAAAAACATAATAAATCTAAAGTGCAAAAAATATGACTGACTCGTAGGGTCTCGAAGAGGTGATCTTGGCCATCTCCTTGTCTTACACGGAAACCCCGTCCACCTACAACAGAAAATCTACCATGATGTTAAAGCTCTCCAGAAAGGGGGCTGCTGTGGCCTTTCTCTGGGCCCCTCTCATCTTTGTGTTCTGTGTGCATCCCTCCTGAGGTATCTCCTTTCATCAGACCCAGTGAAGACCCCCTGGCCCTTCCCCACTGTCACCCCCAACACACACACACACACACACACACACACACACATACTGTTGACCAGACCACAGCCACAGCTTCCTGGCTCTCTCAGAATCCCAACTTCTTCATGACTATTTCCTGAGGCCACAAACAAAAGCTGCAAGAAAGAGGTCATCGTTGGCCCCCACAGCAGGCCTCGCGTTTCCCCTCTCAGATTCCAGCTGACTGAGGTGTGACATCAAGCATTTCAAAGAATCCAGACAGTTACTAAAAGTATCAGAAAGCGATGGCTCCATATCCGGTCCACCCAGGCTCACGGTTTCTTCTCACAATCAGTGACTGTCACTCTCCATAAGATCTCAGGGAGCTGAGTGCTCCTACAAACCAGAGAGGGCTCCCTGGGGACAATACCAATCGCATGCTTTGCTATGCAAAGATGTGACAGCATCTAAAACCACTGCACTCTCTTTCCCAGGAGGAGCTCATGTCCCAACTACCAGTGACAGTCCAAATGCCCAAGTCCCATATGCCCTGCTGGCTGTGTCCAGCCTCAAAAAAGTCCTCGTTTTTGTTCCATTCTCAATAACCATTGAGCACCCTTCTCAAATCTTCCAGAACATCCCTCCAGAAACAGAATTGCCCATTGGCCATCACCACCTGGCTTCAGTCAACAACTGACACACAAGAGATCCACTGGTAAATGCACGTCCCTCCTCCTGTGTCTAGGCCCTCTTCCAGCACCCCATGTGCCTCAAGAACACCCTCACATCCTTCAAGACCCAGCTAAACCACCACCGAAACTACCAGCATTTTTTCATCATATTCCACCCAGGATAAAGTGAATGCCCCCACTTAGGCACTTCCTCTACCCTCAGGTGTCTGTCATGGCACCTGTGACGTGCCAGTGGGTTGGGGTATGCAGCTGTCTCCCACTACTAGACTAGAAGCCACTTGAGTACAGGGGCCATGTCTTGAATATATTTGTTATCCCAGTGTTTAACAATGTCTGACACACAGTAGGTGCTCAATAAATGTTTGTTACATGGAAGAATGTATAAAAATGATAGAAGAAATTCTAAATGTGCCCAAGCCTCCTGAAGATCCCTATTCCTTGTAGTCCTCACTCAGGCCCAACTGTTTCCTTAAATGGAAGAGGAAAGCATTTTAATTTTATTTTTATTTTTTTTTATTTATTTTTCCCCCTCAAAGCCCCAGTAGATAGTTGTATGTCATAGCTGCACATCCTTCTAGTTGCTGTGTGTGGGATGCGGCCTCAGCATGGCTGGAGAAGCAGTGCTTTGGTGTGCGCCCGGGATCCGAACCTGGGCCGCCAGCAGCGGAGCGTGCGCACCTAACCACTAAGCCACGGGGCCAGCCCGAAGAGGAAAGCATTTTAGAGGGCTGGAGGAACTTCTATCCCACCTCACCCCTAGACGGTCAAGGCCGCCAGGACATAGGAGATAACAAGCCAGAAGTGGAACAGAGCCAGAGGCCACAGCAGGCTGTCTAGCCATTCTCTTTGGTCCACTGTGTGTCATCAGCTAACTTCTCCGAGGCAAAGCTTCTGGACTGTGGACCCTCCACCTCTGTCCACCACATCTTAAACAAGCCCAGGACCCCTCCTGGTGGGGTGCCAGTCACCAGGCCTTGCAACAGAAATCAGAGATGGTGGCAGTGTGGCTGGCGGGCCTGTCTACCCAGGGTTGCACTGGGCCTGAGATAGAGGCATAGGAGTCACAGGAAAAGAAGGGCCCTTCTGACCAGCACCTCTCCCAGGCCCTGTGACAAGCCTGTCATTTCCTAGGCAGCTGGAGTTGTAAAGGACACAGGAGGACCCTGAGTGAACTCTCTTAGCTCAGGGAAAAGAAGACACCCATCCATTCCTCCTGCTCACATCAGAGTGGTCTTTTGAACTTGAATCTGACCACATCACTCACCTGCTCCAAATTTCTCAGTGGCTTCTTTGGGGAAAAATCAGATGACCTTTGTAAGGCATAGGGGATCTTTATGACCCATCCTTGCCTGCCCATCCAGGCTCACACTCCTCCTGTGTAGGAAGCTCAGCAACAGCGAGCGGCTTGCCTCCAACACACCAGACTCGCACACACCTCTGCTCTGGCACGTGCCGCTCCCACGGCCGGGTCTTCCTTCTGCCTTTTCCCAGCCCAGCGGAAGCCCCGGCACACTTCAGTCTCAGCTTCAAAGCTCTCTCCTCCGGGGTGCCTCCCCCTACTCCCCACGTAGAATGGTAGAATTGGAAGCTCCTTCCCACTGCACACTGTACTTTATGTTTCTACCACAATAGAGACCAGCTTCACTGTATCACACCGACAGTTCCTCTAGGGTTGGCCCTTACTAGCCTCAGTTTCCTTTCCTGTAAAATGGGGGTAATAACTGAACTTACCTCATAGTACTGGTGGCAAGATTGATCCTGGGAAGCAGTAGTATGGGGTTGGGGAGAGCCAGGGAAAGAAAGGAGGGCAAAAGAGGGTGCACTCATGAGCAGGTTACCCCTGTGGGCCACTGGAGTTCTATCCTCTTGGGGGCCTCTGAGAGAAACAGAGTGGAACACCCTCAGAACAGTCCCACTGAGAGAGGAGGAAGCTCTGTATTGAGCGACTCCCTATTGCTGTCAGCTTCAGGCTGATGGGCGGGGAGGGGCGGCATCCACTTCCTGGCACTCTGGCCACACACGTGCCAGTCACGTTCCTATGGGCAGAGAAAAGCCCCTGAGCAGAGAGGCTTGGGTGCTTGCAGTGGAAGTATCTGGACCTGGGCAGGATGCTGACAGCATCTGATACCATCTCCCTCCAGCTCTGCCAGTAGCCGGCTGAGTGAGCTTGGCTCCTCCAGAAAGTCAGTGTATCTGATGAGGGGTGCCCTAAGGTCCCTTGTGATGGGTCCGGTCCTCAGTCAGCCCACATCCCCCACAGCTGGGCAGCCCTTGGGTGGGTCACTGAGCCTCAGGGGCCTTTGAGGGAAGGGCCATGCCTTCTTTGTTCATCACTGTACCCCAGTACCTAGGGCAGTGCTCTGCGCACACTAGCCTCTTAGTACCCATTGGTTGACTGACCTGCTGGCAATCAACCAGCAGGCATCATTTGCCACCTGCTGGCAAATGATGCAGAATGAAGTCATGGACAGAGAAACCCGACATTTAGACTCAAACTCAACCATGGCCCCAGGCGATGGAAGATGAGAAGCCTTTTGAGCTGCATGTATGCTGTGGCCTATGTGTGTGAGATAAGTTTCAACTTTCAAATATCGCACTTCAGATCCAGAAGGCAACATATGGGAGCTATGAAGTTAATATCTGGCCCTCCAGTTACCTTTCATGGCTCAGAGCTGGAGTGGGCCCAGCTGAACTGCAGTCCCCGCACCTCTGCTCCTGGTAACAGGCTCTTCACCCTCCAACATTCTGCCCAAGCAATGCCGATTCTTCAGGACCAAGAGGCAGCCTGGAAACCTGAACAGATATTGTTATCACAACCCATACCAGTCGTTTAATAGCATAAATAGCACTAACGGACCACAGGGGATGCCCTCCACTCCTCCACTGCTGCCCACATGCTCCGAGCCTCCCAACATCTCCTCGGACACTTCCCAGAGTTGGGTCCCTGCGCACCTCCCAGGGTCCCGGGGAGGGGACCACGCTCACCTTCTGGAGAAATGCCATCCTCGGCCTGTACTGCTGGCCCTGGTGTCGGATTGTCATCCTGGACCCTGGATGAATTCAGAACCAGAACACAGACGGGAGAGGAAAGGAAAAGCCCCCAAGTGCAAGAGCCAGCGAGCCCGCACACGCCCTGGCGTCCGGGGGGAGCCGGCTGCGCGGGGCGGGGCGGCTGCTGCTGGCGGCGCCCCCTTTACTCCCCCCCGGCACACGCCCCCGGAGAGCAGCTGGAATCCGCGCCAGCCAATCAGCGAGCCGCGCCGCGGGCTTATTAGCATGCGCTGCGCTTGCACCCACCTGCCGCCAGGCGGCGGCGTCCGGCTCCGCCCGGACTGGGAGCCTCAGGTGAGACCCGCGTGTCCCGGACTCGTGAGTGAAGGATCTGTCGCAGAGGGCTAGCCTTGGCCCGCACCGCTAAGCCTGGGGAAGTGACAACAGTATACCACGGGCTTTGGATCGCTGGCTAGCCTGCCACCAAGTCACTGGATGGACCTTAGCAAGTTGCTTCAACTTGCTGAACGTCCGTTTCCTCATCTAAGCAGAGAAAAGCAAATGAGTGGATGGGAAATGACTCCTGTCTGTCGGGTGCTGTGACGCGGCAACGAATAACGAGGCGACTGGCAGTGGAGTGTGGTTGGGGGTGAAGAATGCTGCTCACCTGCAAGGTGGGCTGGCTCTGAACCCCGCATTTGCCACTAGCTGTAGGATCTCAAGCGAGTTACGGAACATTTCTGGGCTTCGTTTTCCCCATCTGATCAATGAGGATACTATACCTCCTTGTGGTTTTTTTGGGGTTTGGTTTTGGTTTTGGTTTTAAGACTACTGAGCTAATGCATGTAAAAGCATTTAGAACCATGACTGAGGCGAGGTGAATGTCGGGTAAATCGTAGTTTCTCTTATGTCTCTCGGGACTCTTAAAAGTCGACCCATGCCTAGTGAGTCGTTGTATACACAGTCAGAATAATATGAGAACTATTGGAGTAGTAAATGGAGATAAGAGTGTAGGCTCTGCAATCAGATTGCTTGGGGTCAGATCTCAACTCTGCTGCTTACTAAGTAGCTGTGTGACTTTGGGCAAGTTACTTAACCCCTCTGTGCTTCAGTTTCTGTAAAATGGAGATGGCGCATTGACTGCCTACCTCATACGGTTGCTAAGAGGAGATAGAGTAAACAAATCAATAGATATCAATTGTTGTTACTGTTATTAATATTAGTATCACTAAAGATGGTGTCATAGAAAGAGCACAAAACCTGGAATGAAAAGAGTCTCAGCTTGACAGTTACTTCCTTCCCCCTGTTCTCAATTTCTTCATGTACAAAAGGAGGGGCTAGAACTAACCAGTCTCTGACAGGTTGAGACCTCCCAGGTTGAACACTCAGGATTCTCAGGTTCGGGGATGTGCCTGTTTCTCATTTCTAGACCTGGGCAGCCAGAGTGTGGAAGATAAAGCTGACGTCAGAAAGGGGAGTGTAGGGGGCATTTGCCATAAGAGGTGCACTCAGGCAACAACTCTTTTGATCATCTGGTTCCCATCCTGGTTGAAGAGCCGGGTTCCTGCCGAGCTACCCAGACATCTTAACTCTGACTTCAAGAGCGGGAGCAACAGTTTCAGAACCCGAACTCTGAAGTCTGGTTGACTCATAGGGAAATGACTTGGAGGAAAGCCATGAGATGTAGCTTCCAGCCCCAGCTAGGCCACTGCAATGGTGTATGACAGACAGCAGGGAAACCACTCATTTCTTCCAGGTTTTCAAATTTATTGGAATAGGCTAAGCAAAGTAATTTCAGAATCGTTTTTTTCTTTTTTTTTAATATAGGATGGCTTTATTTTATTTATTTATTTTTCCCCCCAAAGCCCCAGTAGATAGTTGTATGTCATAGTTGCACATCCTTCTAGTTGCTGTATGTGGGATGCGGCCTCAGCATGGCCGGAGGAGCGGTGCGTCAGTGCACACCTGGGATCCAAACCCGGGCCGCCAGCAGCGGAGTGCGCACACTTAACCGCTAAGCCACGGGGCCAGCCCCAGAATCGTTTTAAATGTGTGTGTGTATCCGTGGTTGTTTCCCCATTCTCTTATTTCATTGATTTGGGTTTTCTCCCTTTTTTCTTGATTATATTACATTGTGATTTATTTATTATAATGAGATAGTGTGTGTGTGTTTTTACTTGAGAACCAGGTTTTATTCAATAGTTAGAACTTTATTTTTTGTTTTAAAGATTTTATTTATTTATTTATTTTCCCCCCAAAGCACCAGTAGATAGTTGTATGTCACAGTTGCACATCCTTCTAGTTGCTGTATGTGGGACGCGGCCTCAGCATGGCCGGAGAAGCGGTGCGTCGGTGCGCACCCAGGATCCGAACCCGGGCCGCCAGCAGTGGAGCGTGTGCACTTAACCGTTAAGCCACGGGGCCGGCCCAATAGTTAGAACTTTAAGATCACCTAGTCATTGGATATTTATGCTGCTTACACTAGTGAACAGTTGGGAGAGGGCCTATAAACTAGAAAAAACGTTAGGAATGTAGAGTGACCCCGTGTGTCTCTTTGCACCTATCATCATGAAGTAGTTGACGGCATCCTCTTGCACTTGTATCCATTTATTATTGGATGATAAATCATATGGTCCCCTAATCACATGTCAATTTCCTGTTCTAACAATAATCTAATCAAGCCTCCTCGTTTCCTAGGTGAGGGAGACATCATGGGGTGGTAGAAGGAGAATATGACTAGGACCCAGGACACCCAGATCCTGATCCCAAATCTATTACTGACGCATTGGGGGACTTCAGGTGAGGCACGTCACCTCTCGAAGCCTCAATCCCTGGTCAGAGTTGTTCAGCACTTCCCAAAGTTTGCTCTACAAGCCGAGCTTCTCAAACTGTAATGCACAAACCAGTCCCCCGGGGGCCTTGTTCAAATGCAGATTCTGATTCATGAGGTCCAGGTTGAGGCTGAGATTCTGCATGTCTAACAGTCTCCCAAGTGATGCCCATACTGACCTCAATCTGAGTAGCAAAGGTCTAAAAAGACTTATTACACAGAGTATAAATCAATATGACATTAAAAAAAAAAGTGAGGAGGGGGTTATAGTGAAATACATTCAGAAATCCATACGCCTAATATGTTTAAAAGGGATTGTTTACTGCAGGGCTCCCCAAAGCCTCTAACATACTTCCAAAGAGAGTGACTTGAGCAACTCAGAAGAAAAGTTTTTCAGAAAGACAAGGTCTTTGTTTTATAAACGGATGCAACAGAGGCAAGAGGGCAGCTAGCTTTCCCACACTTGTGCTCAATCCCTCTCCCAGATGAATAGATGAAGTCTCTGATGGCTTGCCATACTTAAACCTCGTTGCAAGGTTTCACCCACAGCTCCCTGCACATCCCCACCCCACCCCCTGGCTCATGGTTTGGATCATGTGCTTGACCCTCTGCTAACTGACCAGGGACACTGGAGTTGCTGACCCAGGCCACCAGTCCATAGACTGGCCAACAACCTGCAACATGGCCAGATATAAAAGGATGAACTGGAGCAACCAGATTATCACTCTTGGAAATAGCCACTTGAGCCGGCTGGTACAGGTGGCCAAATTTGAAAAGAAGCCCCAACGTGGAATCAGGCCCATGATGAGGCAAAGCCATAGGGGAGCTAACGTTATGAGGGAGACAAAGACTGAGCGGGTGGTGGAAGCCTGGAGTAGAAAGGAGAATGGAACAGCAGCACAGAGCGCTGCAGAGATACCCCAAGAGCTCTCACAACAGAAGTGGAGGCCCCCACCAGGGGTTGTTGTTGGGTCACAAAGAGCAAATTGTATCACTCTTAGTTGGTTTTCCTGGTGGGGATGGGCTACAGATTAGAGAAACGATGGAAACATAGTATAGCTGTGTTTCAGCAAGACATACGCGGACCAGAAAGAAAAAAGTGAGTGTTGCCCCATCCCCTCCAGGAAGCCCAAAGGAAATCTGCAAATTTGTGGCAAATGTAGGACTTTAATGCCACCATATCTGTCCAACCTCACCCTATACTCACCCTGGTCTTGACTCCATATTTAATTTGTTTTCCTTGCCCTGATTGTTAATTTATAGTATGCCATTTTACATTGTGCATCTCCTGTATGCCTGATTGATTCAACTGTGAAAAGAGACATGGTATAAATAAATAAGCAGATCAGATGAGAACTAACTTAAGTGGATTCATGTCTGAATAATCCAAGTGGAGACATAGAGATAGGTCTCTAGTTGCATGTCATAATATTCGCTCCAAATTACATCCTGTTAAAAATCATAGTGATTTGGATGACAACTTTGATGACACAGTGTTTACATTTTCAAACAATGATGCAAAAGAAAGGAATGGTTAATACATTAGAAAATAGCAACTGCATCCAAAAGTTCTTGCCAGCCTGAGCATAATGCAGTGTGCTTTCAAGAACTGATCAAATGCCTGCACTGAATCAGCACCTCTGGGCCAAACTTCAGTGTCAGGATTTCTAACTGTTATCAAAAGTCACTGTAAGAACTTATAGTCATGTGAATTTCTTTATAAAAAAATTCTGATTTGAACCAAAACTGTTGTCAAGATATAGTCCATTCTATGCCTCTACCGTGTACAATAGGAGAAATTTCTTTCAAAGTTTAGTACCAACAAAAATTTAGTCTTCCTAAAACAGGAAAAAAAAACCCACAATGCTTCCTTTCCCCTGATCAAGAGAGAGGTGTGTCATATTTCTTTTCCATTTCGACCAGCAGACCACTTCAAATCTGGCATTAGGCTTCTTTGGAGCAATGGGAATGAACATTCGATTTCTAATTTTGTCTCCACTCTTTTTTCCTATTTGAGTTCATATACCATCGGTTTTATCATCTGGGCTTTTTTCTTTTGGTAAGCCACCACAACCCCTTTTTTGGAATGGCTAGGATATAAATAAATTATATTTGAATGATGAGTGGGAGATGGCTTGATGAATTGGACAAGGTGAGGGAGAAAGGAAAATATGAGCAATCTCAACAGTCTTCAAGATAAGTAACTATATTTATCGAAATGATTTTTTGAAACCACATTGTTTTGTTTTGGTCCAAGATAACTGCTAAAGGGAGAACAATGTGGTGAAAATATACTCAAGTTTGGTAAACATCCTGCTCTCTTTACAAGACAATTGATTAG